TGTTTTTCAACTTAAACAAGTTATAGGTTGCCATAATAAATATGAATCTCAATTGCTAGTGATGTTTTGAGCCAAGATACTTCTTATTGTTTAATTCAAATCATTATGATGTAAATAAAAAGTCACTTTTAAATGTGGAGTAATTAATATTGGTGTGGTTGATAGTTTATCTTTAAACTTCAAATCCTTGTCAACAATCACTTGTCCAAATATACATAGACTTGATTAGACTTGATTTTTTTTTTTTTTTTTTTTTTTTTTTTTTTATACAAAACAATGTACAAATCTTATACAATAATTAGTCAAATACATAAATTTATGAAATCCTTTTGGATTTTTTAAAGGTCATAAGAAAATTACAGCTTTATTCTTTATTGGATTTATTAATAGCTATTCTTTGCAAATAATATAGCCAAATAAAATTCTAGATGTTATTGCAAAGATACGTTTTTTTAGTTTGAGGATGATATTAATTTATTTTTTTCTTTTAAAGAGATTGTTTTTACAATTCCTTTGCATGGCAAAAAAATCACTAAAATCACACACATGCTCATTGAGCCAACATAGATACCACATAATTATGTAATTTTTTTTAATGCAATAGAAGAAAGATGATAATTTTTCTAAAGGATGTTATTTTAATAGTATATAAAAGGTAAGTGTAAAAGTAATGGGCTCTATCTAAAGCTACCTTCACATGTTGTTTTTTCTTAGTTTAAGTAAGAAAAAACTCATAATAAATTGTAAAAAAGTGTAACGACATTTTGCCATGAAAAAAAAATCATCTCTAGTTAAAAAAAATATTAACATGTGAGTTTTGTTAAAACATTTTCATTGATCTAATATTGTTGTGAGATTCATTTTTTGGTCTTACATTGCTCCATTTTATGTCTGACTATATTTTTGAGATTTTTCTAACTTCATTGTGTCTTTCTTTAAGATTTAAAATCAACTCAATTGATTTTAATGTGAATCTTTTTGATCTATAAGAAAATTTATTCCATCAATAGATATACAAAATAAAAATATTTATTATGCAAGCATGTCCAACATAGTAGCAAATATCAATGTTGATCAAATATCAATTGTAATGTAGATGAACACATTTCAAGATAAGACTATCCAAAATTTATGTGGTAATTTTTTCATTGAATTTTTACTATTTAAAAGAATAAAAGTTTATTTATAATTTTATAATAATGCATTATTATTTTTTACATTATTTTTTATATATTTTTAAAATAAGAATCAAGGATCCATGTATCCTAAAATTTGATCCTTCTTACAAGTGCACTAAAATGTTTTTAAAATTTTTATTTGAATATCTAAAATCAGAATTGGACTTGATTTATTTTTATCTTCTTTATGATTTCTAAATTAACTTTAAAATATCCTAATTTTTTGATCTGTAGTATCTAATCTTTGATATATTAAATTAAGTTTTTAATATTAGTTTAGATCTTTCATTGTTATAATTTAGATCTTTCAATATTAATTTAGATCTTTCTTTGACAATAATATAATCTCCCAATAGGGCTTTGTCAAACAAAGTAGTGAATCCATTAAAACCTTAAAAGACTATCAAAAAAATTAATTAATTATTAAATAAGGCTTACATTGTGCAACAAGGGACATTGCTTCTTATCCCTCTTTCTTCTCCCCCCCTCCCTCCTTCCACCCATAGAAAGCAAAGAATGTACTCTTGGGTGCCTTAAGAACTTCTACATAAAGATTTGATCACATAACAAGCAGGTTTAATATATTGAAAAAACAAATATAGGATATTACTAATTCCACCACAAGCTCTACTAAACTAGTATTGTACACCACAATGCACTTTATGTTATGCATAATACAAAAAATACTATCCTAATATAAATTTATTTTATAAGTAAAATAAACATATTTCTATACATATATTTTTAAATTATAATAAATATCCTTTATAAAAAATAGTGACATATTTTAATTTAAAATTTATCAAATTTAAAGAAAATATTGTGTTTAATTATAATAATTTTTGATTTTATATAAATAAATAAATAAATATAAACAAATAATATGATAAAATATTAATTTATAGCTAAAAAATAAGAATAGATTTAGATTAAAAAATATAATTTATTTTGAAAATTTCTGAGTAGTATCATTGACACCAAAAAAATAATACAATTAAAATATAACTAAGAAAGAATTAATGTTAAAATAATATTGTATCTCAATAGAAGTGTTGATATCTACAACCACAATTCCAACAATTCATTTGATACTTAAACTTTTTATATAGATTAATCTAAGAGAAATATATCAAATATCAATTATGAATATTATTAAACAACCACTTATAACATCAAATATGAAATTATTGGTTTAAATAAGATAAGAATTTATAAAAAGAAATATATATATATATATATTGTAAGTTTATTATAAACTATCCAAGTTTTGTAAATATTAACTTTTTATTATTATTTAGTAATGTATAGTTTTTTTACTTATATTTAGAAATTATTCCAAGTAATTAAAAATTGACTTTATAACTAGATAGAATTTAATTCCCATTAAGTAGAAGGAAGTCATTTTTTTATTAATTAATTATAAATGCAATAATTAGATACCATAATTTAATTGAAGCTTTTGAAGAGTATATTTTTTTAGTGAAATTTTTTTTGTACCTCTGAAATATGTTGAGATATCAAGAATACCCCTATATTCTTAATAATAGCAACTATGCCCCTCATCTTTGTGAGAATAACAAATCTATCCTTGACTTTGAGAAGGTGTAACCTTCATTCCCTTTTGGGTGACACAGCTCGTGCTCTGATGCTTGCAATTGGACTTAGATTCCGAAGACCTTCTCCATTATTTGTGGGGGGAGGTCGGAGAGGTGGGTGTTTGATCTTTATTGAGCTCGTATTACAGCACTACGTCCTCATTAACATTTAAAAAAGTGCCTCCTCTCATGAAACTAATTATGAAGCTTTGACAAAACTGGAGGGTCGCCAAGCGCAGCGGCACTTGTGGAATCCTGGCGCGAAGGACAACATTATCATCTTAGTACATTTTGACGACGAGACAAACAATACGGTATTCGAATCCTTATGAAACTGCACCCCCAAAACTTAATTTTTGCGGTGACAATCATCTACAGTAATTGATCCTCCAGCTCACAGCGATAGCTTCTTTTCACGATTCCCTTAGAAATGCAAATGTAGAAAACATCTGAACCAAAAACAGGGTCATGTGGGGGGAGCTCGTGACGCTAGGCAGCAGACTCCATGTGCTGCTGGAACGCTTTTCATTTGATTATGAAAAACGGTTGCGAATCGTTGCTTTTGGGGGTCCAAAGCGTGGCAATGGACATCACGGCTGTTGTCATATGCTAGTAGAAAGTGACAAGCGTGAACGCCATGTATGAGGCCGATCTAGACGGACGGACCTCTAGCAGCGCCCTGAGAGTGTCGACTGAGGACTCTAGATCTCGAAGATGTATGAACATTTGTTGCAATTCTTTTGTTCAACTTACTTACATGAGAATACTTGAAGACGCAGTTGATTACAATGTATGTCTTTCCATGCATTCCAGTCTTTTGGAAGCGTAGAATACTTCACAGACCATGCTTCATCCCCACCACGCCATGTGACTGTGCAGGAGCACGCTTGGGCCTTAACTTGAATCAAAGTGAGTTGTCGGGGTTATCGAGACATTCTTGTGAAGAAATTTCTAAAAAGGTGCATGATAACGGGGGCGAAACGCATTCCAGCCCGAGAAATAAGGAACCAAAAGTTCAGAGCAATCACACATTTGATGATGATCAGCTTGTTATCAGCGAGGGGAGGCAGAAACGGATGATTTCAAACAGAGAATTGGCTCGACGATCACGGCTCCGCAAACAACAGCATCTTGATGAATTGCGGTCACAGATCTCTCACCTCTGAGCCGAGAATGTCCACTTGCTAAATCGCTGCAGTCTTGCATGACAGTAATACGCTCAATTGAATGAAGAAGACTCTGTGCTGAGGTCAAATGCAGCCGACTTGAGGCATCAGATGTAAACGCTGCATCCTGGCACATCTGGGCACCAGTTGATTACCTTGGAACCACGTGGTCTCAGTTCTGTGCAACCCCTTCCTTTGAACTTAAGCTTGTGCTCAGGTCCTATTGAAGATCCCAATTGGGGGAAGCATTGATATGTTAGCCGCTTCCTTGTTTGAATTGTGTGCATACATGTGTTTTTTGGTTCTTTGGGCTTATATGGAGTGCGAGCGGCGGAATCATTTTTTATACTGAAGACGGTTATATCAGCTTACGTTTGGAATGGTTTTTTTTAATGATGCGCATGTTATATCACGACCGGCTCCATGAGCTACGTAAAGGGTGTTTTATCATCACAAGCAATGGTTTTTTCTTCATACATCTCTTTTTATGAACGATTGTTAGTTTTCTCTCCCTTAGGAGACATGTGCTGAAAACTCAAAAGACATCCTCAAAAACCTTGCCACACAACCTATTTTAATATGCTCGCGGAATCTTTCCTCAATCCCAACTGGAAAACTGTTTCTTCAATGAGAAAAGAAAACCTTAGTTTCAAAAATGGGGGGAATTCACCGGGCAGCAACTATTCCACCCACTGACTTGTAAGAACCCGCAACATTGAAGGTTAGGATTCGTTGCGGAGCCACCTATTCTTTTGTGCAGTAAAGCTACCGACTCGCATCTCTGACTTTTCCAGAACCATTGACCGATGGTTGAGACGCAAGCAAGCACTAGAAGAGGGAGCGGGCTAGGAGAAAGACGTTTGGGGCATGAGATACACATGAAGCGATGGCAATAGAGCCTTGGGGAGTTGTGAGGAAAAAAACAGGGAGGTGAAGATGGAATGCTGAACCTCGTCACTCAGGTGACGCTGATTGCACTCGTCCAAGTACAAAACATTGCGTGGATACACGCAGCAGTGCACGAGTTCAGAGGTATGATCCTGTCCAATCAGTGAGTGAGCAAAAGAAAACTGGGGGGTATACTAGACCGTATCGTTCAAAGCACGGGACGAGACGATGGAGAGAAATGCGAAGGAGAAAAAATAGTCTTTATTACTCGGGAGCTTCCGTTGCCGGGACTCGAACCCGGGTCGCTCGGGTGAGAGCCGAGTATCCTAACCATCTAGACTACAACGGATGGATGACGTAGGTTGGAGTACTTACACAAAATATTACGGATACAAACTTCGCTTCTACACATTTGCTAAAGGCAAAATGTCTCTCCTAAGTACCTGGAATTGAAACATTGCACCTTCATACGCAAATGTGGGGCTCGAGGGATGCACTGATGACATTTCAAAATCCAAGGATTATTCCTGCAGGCCCACCATTGACGGTCATGTTCTCGGTACTTCAATCCCTGTAAATGCTTGGCTACAATACATTACGACCACACTGCCAGCTGCACCCGAACAAGTTCTCCTCGATGAGTGTTCAAAACCCAACAATTATCCCGAAGAAGCTGATACTTCGGTATGAACAGCCTGAGACCGGAAAGCAAGGCTTTAGAAGCTATGAGAATACGTTACGGAGTAGGGACTTCATTCGAGGTTCAAACATGAACATACGGTGACATTGGTAAAAGCTGTTCCGTAGAATTGTTTATATGCTGGACAAGTCCCGCTTGCGGTACAAATAATATGGTATAGTTCAACAGAATAAAACTTTCATAGTAGCAACGAAACAGGTCTCACAACGATTCGTCACCCGAGTTACTCCATTGCGTACTTCTGAGTCCACATTTTTACAATGCTCTCGAAATTTAACCAGTTTTTCCTGTACAAGATAGCGATGTGGTTCAAGGGGATCATCAAGCATTAGGGCTGCTAGCAGGGAGTAGAGTGATTTCAGCAACTGCGGCAATCCACGTACACAAACACTTCCCCCATCCCGTCACGTTCCTTCTCAAATTCCCACATGCATTTCCACAACCCATACTCTTGTTACTCTACGCTAACCTCGACCCTATCACTGTACTTATGCAAACAAGATGTAACGATACCACCCGCGGTATGTCTCATCTTCTATCAAATCCAATTCCAGAAAAAAGCTGTCATCCATCTTTGAACATGCCATGCCCATGCTCCGGACTTACTCTCGTGCCACCCCCGAGCTCAACTCAACAAACAATCACATTTTCCAAAGAGCCACGCCAGTCATGTCATACGCACCATTATCTCACGACCATGTGGTGATCTCCGACAGAAATCTACCGCGCTGCTCAACACTACTGCTGCAATGTCAGCTGACTACACAAACACCCATACTTTCCACTAAAAGGCTCGACTCTTTCCTTCGTTGGCCAGCCGCAACTTTACTAACGACTACAACACGCAAGAGAACCATCAAGTTAGCACGTTTTCACAAGTGCACCAGGGACGTTCAGTAACAATACCGCATTTTGCACTTGCCCACAAGGAACCAACAAATCACTATCCACAAGTAATTAATTACTCTGCCGACGCCTAATGCACCTTAAATTCTCGCCATCTACCTCCACAATGGGGCACCTAAGAACCAATAACGCAACTTCCTACTACTTTCAGACAACTCAACAACACTACCAGCACTGCTCAAGGGCAACTACCACAAACACAAAGAAGCAAGCTCCGAACTACATTCCAAGTACTCAAGCAGCCAGAGACAATACAAGTACAGAAACGATCAAGCGAGCTTTTGTAACATAATCGAGAAAGAGAAGAAGCACAACTGCAGACAACTAACACCGCCAGTCTCACCAGCGCTGCATGGCCATGGTTGATCACTCCGCAGAGTTTTCAATTCCTTCAAAATACGCTTGGAGGCCATCAGGCGCTACCACCCACCAACACACCACCTCAAACCACCGCAAACTTTGCAAGGCCGTGATCACCACAATGAGTCACAGCGACAAATGCACTCCGCAGCCTCCGATTCACGCGCGATCCAAAACTGCCAGCACGCGGAACCATAATCCCCAGGGAATGGGACATACCGACAGATCTTCGTTACCGCGGACCCAGAAATGGGAGCAAGGTGTGGGTTTTGCGCCGAATGTACCGGAAAAATAGCGCCGACAGCCTGTTCAGTGCTAATTTCTCTCAGTAACTGACTCCCTGTACACCACACTTTTCTAAACATAAAGTGATAATCTACAATTGATGCTTGGGCAGTGAGTGATGTTAGTGATTCTTTCATGGACTGTGGAGCTAGTCCTCACTTGGGAATTCGACAGTTCATGGATTTTGAATTTCTCAGGCATTGGGTGTGAAATTACTTTGCTTTCTCAGAGGGTGGCAAGTGAAAATGTCTTCTCATGGTTTGATAAGATCCGTCACTTGGGCATTCTTGTTTTATGAACGGAAATGAAATGTTTATATTTGGCACATGGGTGCTGTGTGTGAATCATGTTTGCTTTTAGTGTTGATGTTTGTGAAGATATTGTGTATTTATATTGAGCATATATGGTTCCTTGAGCAGCACTGGGACGTTGCATGGCACATAAATTACTGAAATCACACACCTTCAAAATGAGCCAACATAGATACCACACAGTGATGTAATTTTCCTTTTAATGCAATAGAAGGAAGATGACAATTTTTCTAAAGAATGTTATTTTAATAGTATGAAAGGTGAGTATAAAAGTAAAGTAATGGGCTCTATCTAAAGCTACTCTCACATGTTGTTTTCTCTTAGTTTAAGCAAGAGAAAATTCATAATAAATGGTAAAAAAGTGTGATTACATTTTGCCACAAAAAGGAATCATCTCTACTTCAACAAAATCTTAACATGTGAGAATTGTTAAAACACATGAGTTTTAATTGGTATTTTGTGCTCATTGATATACTAATGTTGTTCAACAAAATCTTAATATGTGAGTTTTTTATTTGATATAACTTAAATAAGAGTAAATTTTAGCAATATTTTTATTAAAGTATTTCAAAGCAATCAAATTTGTTAAAAAAAATTTGATTGTAGTAAACACAACTTAAATTTAGTTCTAAAACAACAATATATATATATATATATATATATATATATATGCATATTTAGATTGTAAAACTATTTTATAAAGTAGAAAAAATATTTTATTTATATTATTCTTTAATTAAAATATACATCATTTATTTTTAAAGAAATTAGAAATTCTATAAGATGATAGTACCTTACAATCAAGAGTGTTTTTTATTTTGTAGTGTGTCATATAATTTTTATTCTACAAATAGATAATGAGATAGATAAGTTTTAATTAAATTAAAAAAATAAAAAAAATTATATATTTTTGGTTATAAATAAATAGATTAAATTAAAATAGATTAAAAAACTATTATAAAAATTATAATATGATTTTTTTAAATCATTTTTGAATATTAGGCAAATATATAAATAGATTAGTTTGGAAGTATATATATCTATATATATATATATATATATATATATATATATATAAATTAAATTTATAATTACTTCATATAGATTATTTTTGAAAGAATCTTCTTTAATTAAGATAGAAATAAACCTTATAATTAGTAAAAAATAAACCAAAAGTAAATTCTATATAACTAATTGAACTCACTTTTAAATAAATAAAAAATATTAATTTAAAAAATATATTTCTATAAATAAAATCTAAAATTATATTATATTTTTATTGATTTATTTATTTAAATGCTATGTTCATTTGGCTTATATGTACAAAGATGTTGCAATTAACACTTGGATGGAAAAAATCAGCCTTGGATAAATATTTATTAGTCTATGAGTCAATTCCAAATAACATCAATTCATCTTTGTTACATTAAAAGTATACAATAGAATTAGAAGAGGTCGAATTTACTCTCTTATTTAATAAGATACAAAATAGATTTGAGATTCAAGCTTCACATTTTGAAGTATTATTTGCCAAAGGCAGAATAATTGACCAAAATTATAACAATAAAATTTCTAAATTAAAATTGAAAGATTAATTTGACATATCAAAGATTAGATACCATAGATAAAAAAAAATCATAAGATTTTAAAGATAATGTAGAAATTTAAAAGAACATAAAATACATCAAGTCCAATTCTGATTTTACATATTCAAATATAAAGTTTAAAAATGCGTACGTGTAACTATAAGAAGTATCAAATCTAGCAATGTATGGATCCTTGATTCTTATTAAAAATCACATATATGAATGATGTAAAAAATCATAATGGATTATTATAAATAAACTTTTATTCTTTTAAATAATAAAAAATCAATGAAAAAATTACTACATATAAATTTTGGACAGTCTTATCTTGAAATGTGTTCATCTACATTGCAACATTTGCATTGATATTTGCTACTATAATGGACATGCTTGCATGATAAAGATTTTTTATTTTATATATCTATTAATAGTGTATTTAATCTTATGGATCAATTTTTTTGCAAAGTCTAGGATTTTTGGAATGTTCAAAGGAATAGCATGGTACAACAAGCATAATTTGTAATTTTGATCAGTAGTAACATTATATATATATATATATATCTATATATATATATATATATATATATGCTTTGAGTTTACATCATGTTGAATTACTTAAATCAGTCTTCAAAATTGGCCTTAAAAATATCATTTTTTTTTTTCATTTTAATAGTCTTTTTGAATATTGTGTAAAAAGAGTTTAAAAAATAATGATGCCTTACAATAGATGCTATAAATAAATACACATTTTTATGAATGCTTGAATCTATCCTTCACTTGTTTTGGAATTGCCATGAAGTGCGCTTTGTTCAAAATTGGGCCACTTCTCATTTATACAAATTAACATCAATTTTTTTGAATTAGGACCCTTAAAAATCCTTTACTTGACAACAAAATATATTTGCAGAAACTCTTTCTTTTAGGTTTAAAAGTTTTGTAAGATTTGGTCATTGTTAAGAAGTCTTTGTTTATCAACCATTTAGATTTAGAATATCAAGTTTGTCTTTGAAAATAAAGCATAGAATATACTCTACACTAAAAGCATAGTTTGGTAGGGTCTTGTAAAACGTAGACAACTTTATTGGAAATTTATCAAAAAAATGTTAACAAAATATGTTCAACATGTTTCTTTCCTTCTTAAGAAATGGAATAATTTATATATGACTCAACACATACTTAGTTTAAGATGTGACAAAGTAATTAAATAGAACTCTATAATATCTTAGTATAATGTCATCATATACAAGAGTATATATGAGCTTGCTTTAGTAGTTGTTCCACACTCCTAGTATTTATAGATCCCCTTTGAGTATAAAGAGTTAAGTAGTTTGTTGTATTTGATTTACTCCAATAATGCATTAGGTGTAAGAAATTAAGTAGTTTGTTGTACTTGTTTTATTCTATTAATGCATTGAGAACATCTTATTTATATGTCAAAAAATAAAAATAAAAAATTTGCAAAGCAGAGAAAGATATAAAGATACTATACTAATTTAGATAATTACTTCCATGACTTATTAAGATTTTATTCTTAAGATTACATGCCTAATAGATTTAAGTTAGATAGAGAACCTTCTTAATCTTAATTAATGTTGGAACAATCAAATTAACCTAATAAAATAATATTTAACTAATCTAATAATATTAAAATATAATTCTAAGAAAATCTACAAATCCAAAGGTATTAATAGGGCTTAAATAAAAGACACAAAGAGTAAGAATCAAATTAATACTAGCTAAGCAAAAATTAATTAATGTAAAAAATAAAACAAAAAATAAATTTTATAATCCAATCATTAGCAAAGTCGTGTAAAATAGAGAATAAAAATAATAAAATAAGTACAGGAAAGAAAAGCAAAGATTAATCTCAATTAAAAAAATATATAGATTGTTTATAATAATATAGATTAATAATAGACATTAGACAAAAAAAGACTAATTGTCACGGACCAAAAATACAAACAAGAAATCTAAACAAGAAGTTCAAGAAGAAATGACAAGAACTAGATTATCAGATGAGTACAAGAACAACGCCAAGAGAATTGAGCTAGAACTCCAAGAGATGTGTTGTCGAGACTGAAGAACTCTTCAGCCTCGACTCCTATATATACTACTGGCCTATAGTTCTAAGGAAGCGCATCAAGAAGCTTCCCAAGAACTATGAAGCTTCTCGAGCAACTACCCAAGAGCTAGGAAGCTTCTCAAGTAACTTCTTAGAATCTACTAGAATATTCTAAGAATCTTCTAGAGCCTTTTAAGGGAATCTTTAGAAAATCTTAAAAGAATCTTTAGGGAATCTTTGAAGAATATTCTAAGAGAATATTCAAGGAATCTTCTGGAAGTTTCTAGAGACTTCTTTCTAGAAGGTTCTAGAAACTTGTCTCTAAAAAGGTCTAAGGACTATGTCCCTAACATCACCTCCTCCTTTAGCTTCGAGGTCTCCGAGAAGCAATGTTATCGTCAGTCAATACCAACGCAAGAAAATGAAGATCTGTCGCATAACCTCTGCTATGAACTCCAATTGTTGTTCACGAGGTAAGTGATTCAATGGTCTTTCAAGCCAACGGTAGTGGCCCACGCCTTCAACTTCTGACCAAGCATGAACCTCCGTGTCTTCATTGTGAAATTGTCCTGCAAACACTCTTTCTGGCTGACCATTGTAGGCAGGCTCGACCTCAAATACAATCACCAGCGATCTGTTGCTCGGAATCCTTCGACGTCGTCGTGGTGCAAGCGGTTCTTCATCTCGCGGTCGTCTTCGTGAGTTAGTTGCTTGAGATGACATGACAAGTGTAGTATCTTGGCTATCCATATTCAAAGGCTAAAACAATAAGAACAAACTTGGGCTACTAACAAAGTTCTACGCTATCTTGGAGAGAATGACTACATCAACTATGGATTTTGGTGGTGCTCTCTCCTCTTTTCTGTTTTCTGGATGAACAAGCTTCAGTAAGAAGCTATCGTTGAACCAGCTTGGGTTTCTCAAGATATCGTCGATGAAACTCCTGTACCTTTTGTGGAGCGATTTTCGGCCGGCTCCCATGTTCGTTCATTAATATCGTAACCGCTCCAATGCACAAAGTATTCTAATTTACCCCGTCTTTGTCGTGAATCCAAGACCTTTTCCACCTCGTATTCTTCGTGGTTCTCTATTTCTATGCTAGGTGG